AGTGTGGCTCTAACTCTTTCAATCTCTTCCCTGAGCGACGGCTGGTGCTGCTGTAGGGCTGTTTGCAGTATAGGTGGATCCATCCGATTGCCATTAGTGGTATGGTTTGGTGGGTTCTGTGGGGTAATAATGGTGGGAAGATCTTGTGGCACTCCCCGCTGTGCAGTTGTTGCCGTTGCTGGGGTAATAATGGTGGAAAGATCTTGTGGCACTCCCTGCTGTGCAGTCATTGCCATTGCTGGTAATCCCATCAGGTTCGATGTGGCAACAACGGCGGGAGGATCTCGTGACCTAGGTGTCGTGACATCAACTCTGCAGTTGACCAGCGAATCAGGTCGTTGAGATTCCTCTGTTCGTCTACTCGGTCTTGGGGGGCTTGTGGCTGGCTGTGGCGCTCTCATCTGTGCATTCTGGAATGCGCTTTGGTTGTCCACATAGGTCTGTACGCGGCTACGATGCTCTTCGTTTTCCAGTTGTTGTCTGTCTGGCAAGAAAGTGGTGTACTGGAGTATTTTCTGAAGGCCTTCCGCTCTAGCCATTTTGTCTGCCATAACTCTTTGGCATTGAGTAAGTTCAAATTCTTCTTGGGCGTCCTTTCTTTTGGCCTTCATTTTGGCTGCTATAGCCTTTCGTTTGGCTTCCATTTGGGCTGCTTCGGCTTGTAGCTTGGCCTCTATTTCAGCTTCCTCAAGTTCTATTGCCGACAACTCCTTCTTTTTCTGCCTCTCCTCTTGTGCCACACGAAAGACAGCTTCAGCGGCTTTAGCATCTAAGATTATTTGCTCTTCCTGTGAAATTCTGGATGCTCGGCTGCGGCGGGAGGATGCCTTCAAAAGGCGGGAGGCGCATGTGACCTGCGATTGTTGGGACACGCTGGAGTGTGCCTTGGACATGTGGCGGAAAGATGAGGCCTTTCCAGATACATGAGATGGATCCGCGTACGATCGTTGGGATGGTGCCTGTGAAAAGCGTGAAACTTCGGACTCGGCTCTGTCGACCGGACTGCCTCTTTGGTGAGGCTCGGGCTGTGGGGAACCCTGTGAGCTTTCTAGAAACTTCTTGCGTTCCTCGTTTATTAGCTTGAGGCTTTGCATCTCGCTGTCGACACTTGGGTCTCTTAATTGTTCTTGAATGTCCTTGAGTTGCTGTTCAGAGTCCATCCATTGCACATAGGCGTCTTCCTTATCTCCTTCCACTGCGTGTGCCCATTCTGGGGAGAGTTCCTCCTTCTGTTCGTGGTAGAGTTTGTATAATCTCTCCCAGCTTCGTTCATGGCGCCTGTGGATGATGTGCCATTTCTCCATCAGATGTGAATGCATGGCGTCTGTGAGTTTTCAGCATTGTCTAAGATCGTATTGACCCTGAGACATTATTGGCTTTGTTGAGGCTTGAGTTTCAACCTCTGCGTACTGGTCAAGGTTGGCTGTTTGCAGCATCTCTCCTTGATTGACTGGTTGGGGTGTCTCAACTAGGCTGGTTAATTGAACCCCTTTGTCCAAATCAATAAGACACTCCTCCATGGTTAGGGTAGGTTCCGTGTCCTTCTCAGCTATTTTGAAGAGAATTTGAATAACTTCTCTCTTTGACCACTAGGGGTCGCTACTTGTAGATCAGCTTCTGAGGTGCTGTCTGTGGGTGGAGATGCCACTGGGTGCGTTCTCCTGTGTTTGTGGGTACTTCAGTGCAGTTCACCCTTTCACCACTAGGGGTCCCTTGCTGTGGGTGAGCTACCAGGGTGCGCTGGCTTCGAGGTTCACCCTTTGTCCACTAGAGGGGCTTCTCTGGGTGCGGTTAAAGGCTTGCGTGTGGAGCTTCCTTTAACCACTAGGGGGCGTCTGGAGAAAGGCTAGCCAAATTCTTTCTATTGCCATGTTACTGCTAGTGAGCCACTGAGAGAATGTAGAGGTACAAACTGCCACTTGGCGTGTTGCAGGCTGGAACTCCAGGTCATCAGCTGTGATAATAGGCGAAGGCAATTGGCTCTTGCTTCCTTTCTCTCAAGCTGGGACAGCTTAGCCTTCAGCTTGAGTGAGTGAGTGAGTACTTTTGGTAAGTTTGCTCTGTGCCCTCTAGGGGGTGTTAAAAAAACTAGCCAAATTCTTCCTATTACCACGTTACTGCTAGTGAGCCACTGAGAGAATGTAGAGGTACAAACTCCCACCTGGCGAGTTGCAGGCTGGAACTCCGGGTCATCAGCTGTGATAATAAACAAAGAGACTTGGCTTTGATTTCTTCTGCCTACGTTCCCTCAAGCTGGAACAGCTTAGTGCTCAGCTTGGGTGAGTGAGTGAATGCTTCTGGTAAGATCACTCTGTGCCCTCTGGGGGGTGTTGGTAACTTGGGATAACTTTAAGTAGCTTGCACTTTAACTAACAGATTTGCTCTGTTGTGTGCTGAATTAATTGTGGCTGTTGTGACTCAGCTAGAAAAAAAAATTGCATGACCACCAGGGGGTGCTTCTGCAATGATTCCTCCTTATAACATTGGCTGAAATTCCGAGCATACCTAGGGCTGTCAGATGAGTTCATTGAAGGGCAAGAAACCTTGCTTTTGTCTGAACTTTAGAGGCAGTCATTAAACAGTTCTTTGTTTCAGGCTGTGTGATTCACTAGCAAAGAGGGGAGGGGGAAAAGCCCAAGCTCCTTTTGGTGTTAAAATTCAAACTTTTCATGCAAGGAACAAAAGTGTAGATTTTTCTTTTTCTTTCTCCCCGCTATAAACATTAATTTGAGAACAGGTCCAAAATAATTTTGAATCAGATACAAGGCACTTTTCACTTTGAAGGTTAGCTAGGAAGCGAATTAGCATAACAAAACTTCTGAATCACTCCTTGAAAGCTGTCTTTTACACAAACACACTGGCTTTGCTTTGCAGGCTTTTAAAGGCATCAAGAGAATCTTTACTTCCTTGAAGGTTAATGTAGAGAAAGGGCTAACCAATTTGATTCTCTTTCTTCAAACTGTTGCAGCTTTGAGAGAAGAATTAATCTTTGCCAATTTACTATTTGCTTTCAAAAGATGGCACAAATTATGAGTATATCTTCTTACTATTCTGACACAAACTTAAAATGATCTCTTTTAAATCCTGTCAGATAGTTAACTCAAAAGAAACGATCTTATAATAAACAAAATATATTTTAATGGAAAAGATTACTTGCGTTCACGTTGAGATTGGTGCTGCTGGAAATACATGTTTGTTCATCTTTTAGATCCTTCCTTTAGGTAAGAAGATATTGCTCTTTATACCATCTTTATAATGACTGAGGCTATTGTATGACCTCCATGGCCCATGCTTGTTACCGACAAAAGGATTCCCATGTGGCTTGTGTCCAGGAAGTCTCCCAAAGACCTTTGGAACTCCTCCCACTGACCCATCCACATACCTAGCATTTAACCCAATAACTGCCAGACACTCCAACGTAGAGCTGGGCCATAGAGCTATATGGGCCATAGAGCTATATGGGCCAGAACAATGACTCTGTAAACTGCTTAAAGGTGTTGTGAGTCCATGACAGCCAGTGGACCCGGCAGCTGAGTCTGGGGAATCAGAGGAGGAAGAGGGGTTTGGAGAGCCACCAGAATCAGAGGGAAGCTTTGATGAGTTACAAGACTCACAATCTGATGAAGAGCCTGGCCCCTCCAATTGTGGTCAGGATGAGACACAGCTGTGTGGGGAAGATGAGTCAGACTCTGAGGACTCACAGCTGGAAGTCATTAGAGACGCTCATAAATGAAGGCAGTTAACTAGAGCAGGTCAGAGAGAGTTAATACGGCAACTCCAAGGGAGGAGGAGAAGGCATTGAGAAGCCACGCCTTGGGGCTGCTTAATAAAAAGGGAAGATGTGGGCGGTGCTGGTTGCTGGGCAACAGTTGCAAAGTACTTCATGGGATCATGTTCTGTTGGTATTGCCGGTGAATAATTCCTTGTTTTGCATTGTGTTTCATGTGGACAATTTCCTCCATTTGGATTGTGTTTTGTTGCTTTTGTTTTTGAACCATTTGGCAGGTTTGTTACCAATATTAAAAGGGGTTTTGTTTTCTTCTGAGTCTCCAGCCTATTTCTCAAAAGGGGTTTTGTCCTTGTGCATTTAACAAGGACGGCTATAGGCTGGGACAGAACAGAAGGCTGTAAAGCACTGTGAAGCAGTATATCAGTCTAAATGCTATTGCTAAATGCTATAAATATTTTTTATTCTAATGTACCTCTTTCAGATTTGCCCCTTTCAAGTTTATCCTTTATTTTTTTCCCAATAAAATATGGTTATCATATCTATAAATTAAATTAAACAAACAGAGATTGTCCCATCCCAATATACGTGATTCCTTTTGGAATCCATTTGATAATAGTTTTTGCTAATAGGTGCTAGAAAAAATGCTTTTGTGAATGACTTGCAATTTTTGTCATCGTAATAAGGTTCTCCTTGCATGAATACATTACTATACGTTTAATTCACATACAAATTCTGAATAACTTCTCTTCCTTCCACATATACACACCCTAAGACCTTTTAAAACCATGTGTACTATTGTTTCCATGGCAATTGCAGTATTTGCAATGTTAATGTACAACCACTTCGGAAGGATGTTGTCTCCATTTAGGGAAATTGGGGGAATGATGGAAATGAAACGTTTTGAAGATTACCTGTGTGACACATCTCTGCACCTGGCAAAAGACACTCCTCTTTAGGAAGAGTCGTCCTAAAGTAAGCTTTACCTTCTCTCCATTTAAAAAAATCGAATGGAATCGGTTGACCGAAACCACCGTTCCAGTGATGTCTCCACAGTTAAGCAACAGAACGCGTTAACAAAACGGGTCGATTTCACACCCGAAACTTCATTCATTCATGTGAACTGGGGAGCGATGCTGACTATCCGAGAGAACCTTAAACGGGGCGAGGATGCGCTCCCACCCATTTCACGATCGTGGAAAAGGGACCAGAGGAAATGAATGTGTGGCTTTCGGAATGGAGTTGCCAACCGAGAGCCATTCACCCTCTCCACCGGAAACCAGCCCAAATACCGTAAAATAAAACCCGCTTTTTTTACGATGCACCGGTGAAATCCTTGTGCAGGCGATTGTCGCTGCCCCCATCGGTCAGCCCGCCCGCTGCCTCTTGACCATCACCAGCTACTTCTATTGTCTACGGCTGCTGGTGCTCGGAACCGGGGCGTGCGTAGAGCTCGTCGCCCTTGTGCGTACGCAGCGCCGGGCCTTCCCAAAGAGGGGCGGGAGTGGAGGTGGCGCTTCTTGTCGCACTTGGGCTGACTTTAAAAGCGCCGCGCGATCTGCGGCTCCCCGGCAGCCGCCGCAGCGCTTCGCTTGGATGGTGCGCCGGTTCCTCGCCTGCGCGCTCTGAATGCATTGGGGCAAGCGCTCCTGCCGTCGCCGATCCCGTATTTTTCTTGGTGGGGCTGGAGGGCTCGCCTTTCCCATGCGGTTCTCGTCGACCATGTCCCAAAATTATCTTTTAGCGCCCATCCAAGAATGCCCCTCCGATTTCCTCGTCAAGGATGTGAAATTGGCGGTGCTCGGAACAGGGGGCGTGGGGAAGAGCGGTAAGTCCCGAGGAAGCGAGGCGAGGCGAGGCTGCTTGGGGATGGGGGGGGGGGCGAAGGGAAGGATCCCGCGCCGTGATTGAAATCAGGGCACTCGGGCAGAGGAGAGATGATTAAAAACGATGGTCCAGAAATAATAAAAGAACGATGCTCTGTGGGAAGCATGGAAGCCGGGAAAAGGTGGGAATGTTGGAGAAAATAATCCTGACAGGTGAAATTCTGTCTGCCGTTCCCATCGCAATGCCGTCCAGATATGCAGGAATGCAACGCCCATCAGCCACTGAATAAAAATCCAGCAGTATGGAAGGGCTTTGGGATGGGCAAATGGGAGCTATGAACGGATTGGGTGGGTTAAAGAGTTTCGCTTCAAGCAGAACATAAATTACTCTTGGGTTAAACAGAAAATTCCTCCACGCTTCCATAGGCATCAAAGCGCTTCATTTAGCTTCCTAATCCATATGCCATAGCCCAAGTCACCTTCCTCTGGGTCACCTCCTGGGGAGCCATGCTGCTTGCTAGAAATGGTTAAGTGGCTTAATTAGTCTTTCCCCAGTTGCTTTCATTTAACCAACAAAAGGTTCTTTTTCTTTTCAGCCATGATTGTACGGTTCCTCACCAAAAGATTTATTGGAGACTATGAACCCAACACTGGTGAGTTTTCTTCTTAAGAATTCTACCTTCCCACCAGCCAACTGTGAGGTTTGAGTGAGGGTGGCATCTATGCCATAAAGAATCTGCTTTGGCCTCTTCTTTTAGGGACCTCTAGAAAACTTGGGAGTGCAGGTATTTTCCCACCAAGCCCTCCTAGAAAGGAGGAAGAAACAAGGCTCTGAAAACTATTTACTAACTAACTAAAGCTCCAGAATCCCATTGTGAAGCATAGTCTTACATTACACCACACTGATTTTTCTGCATAAATCGGGAGGCACGTTTATGGTGGCTGGGGTTGCACTTAATGTTTGGGGGTTGAACAAGAGCTGCAACAGGTAGGACATGATCTGAAATAAGTGAGGGTAGGATTTTTCCTTCCCTCCCCCAAGACTTGGGTGGAATCTAGGAAATCTTGGCCACATGTTTAATTTCCAAAGTTTACACCAATTTTCTGATGTTCCACAACTGAAAATGGGGAGCAATTAAACCAGTGCAATTGTTGGCAGTCATATTCTTAGATACGTATTGGGTTTCTGGGGTCCCCACCTCTGGGGTGTCGTGGGCCAACATGAAGAGACTAGCAGTTGTCCTGTTTCTCAGGGTTATTTCCTACTACCAATATAAGTAACAATAACAATAATAGAGTTGGAAGGGACCTTGGAGGTCTTCTAGTCCAACCCCCTGCTCAGGCAGGAAACCCTATACTATACCATTTCAGACGAATGGTTGCTCAGTTTCTTCTTAAAAACTTCCAGTGTTGGAGCATTCATAACTTCTGGAGGCAGGTTGTTCCACTTTTGTGCAAGTTTGTCATTCACTTTCATGTTTATTTTTCCAGGGAATCTGTATTCAAGACTTGTTCATATAGAAGGTGATCAAATTTTTCTGCAGATCCAAGACACACCAGGATGCATGGAGGTACAAAAACAGTCTTAAAATATGTTGGTTCTGATGGCCAAATGGGATTTGCTTCTCTGTGGTTGCAGAAACACAGTGGGCTTTTTATGGCATAGTATTTGCATATTTATTCATTCTATTTTTATTGGCTCATTGCCTCAAATTACTTTTTACGAAGAGGGAAACAAACATAGGAAAAGTTGATTAGGCTTTTATTATGTAATCATTTTGCTTCATTTATTCAATATTTCTTGCTGCTTAAAGGAGTATTTCATCATTAAAAAGTCTCCAACGTACAACTGTAATATAGCCAGGCAATTACAGTAGTAAGTCTTGACACTAGTAAAGCTGGTCATCAGATGACCAGGTCTAATTTTACGATCTTTTTTGCTGTGGTCGTTAACTGAACGCATTAGTTGTTAAATGAATGCTCCAGTCATTAACCAAACCCATGTTTCCTATGGGGTCTTTTCTTGTGGAAACCAAAGATAAACACCAGTTTCCAGAAAAAAGATGGTAAATTGTGGATAGGTGACCATGGGGCGCTGCAAATGTGGGCTGATTGCCAGGTGTTCAAAATTCTGTCATGTGACCACTGGGGGAGGACACTGGATATTGTAACTTGGATGAAGTAGCTTTTGGGGGGGTGTCTGTTGTAACTTTGAACTGTTGCTAAGTGACGAATTGTAAGTAGAGGACTACCTGTAAAATTATAGTTCTTACTGCTTTAACAAACAACCAGGGAGTAAAATATTGTTGTCATTCCCAGTTGTTTTACTAGTTCTCAGAATTTTTAATCTGAAGTATCCCATAAATTTGGATTTCTAATCAAATTAGGATGTAATTGGCAGACACACATTCTAGATATCAGAAAGAAATCTCAAATAATCAAAGTGCCCCAGTTCAATTTTCCTAGGACTGCAATCCCTGGAATATTTTACTATTTCTTGGGTTATTTAAAATGTGTGGCTTAATATGTATGGAGCTCCTAGGCTCAGTACAAGAAATACTTGCATTTTTGTTACAGCATTAATAGGAGTTATGATTATTTGTTGTTCTGGGTAGTGCTGGGAGCATCTGTGTTAGAAGAAATGCACTTGACCTTTTAATGATCCATTTGGGATTAAGTGTGAGCAATCACAAGAGCATTGTTTCTTTTGATGCTTCAAGGCTGCATTCATCCAACTGCATTGTATTATGATGATCAAGGTTGAACACTGAATAGATCAGCTGTGAGATGAGCTTCTTTACTGAAACTATGGTTGCAATTGAAACCCTTTCTGTTCTTTGTAAATGTATGCAAATGACCATTCCTCCTTTTCAGATCCAACAAGACTTGCCGCAGATGCTGGATTCGGTTTCTGGTTGTCTCAAGTGGGCAGATGGCTTTCTCTTAGTCTATTCAGTTACTGACCATCATAGCTACCAGTTCATTCGGCCACTTTTTCTACATATCCAGAAGATCCGCCCTGACTCAAAAATCCCAGTCATCATTGTAGGGAACAAAGGGGATTTGATGCATTCCCGACAGGTTGCAGCAAATGATGGCCTACAGTTGGCCAATGAACTGGGTGTTGTGTTTCTAGAAGTTTCAACGAGTGATAACTATCAAGGTGTATGTGATGTCTTTCAATATCTTTGTAAAGAAGTTAGTAAGCAGCACAGTTATGGCAGCCGGGACAAAAGAAGGTCATCCATCATCCCACGTCCCAAATCACCAAACGTGCAAGACCTCAAGAGACGTTTCAAACAGGCTCTTTCATCCAAAGTGAAATAGACTTGAAATGGTCTTTGCTCAAAACTATTTTATTAACTACACCTTTATAAGAAGATTTTATTTTTGTATTGATGCTGTTGGTATGTACCTAGATAAAAATATACAACTTTCTTGGAATTACTTTCATATGAATTTTTCTTCCTCCCTTAACTATTGGAATAAAATGAAATAAAAGTGATTGAATTAAAACTTTATTTCTGTTCCATAGAGATTTACTGTTTAAATAAGGGAAGGGAACTATTTATTTATCAGATTTATACCCCAACTTTTCTCCAGGAGCTTAAGGCACTCTCTTCCAATAATAACCAATAGGTCAACTCATAGAGTTTCCACTAAAGGAGAATATTTGTAGCTCAGGGTTGAAATGAGGGGTCCTTGGTGCTCTCTGAGCTTGGTTGTTTTCTTGCAGGCATTTCATTACCCATCTAGGTAACATCACTATTACCTAGTGAACTGGCACTGATGATGTTACCTAGTTTGGGTAATGAAACGTCTACAAGAAAACAACCAAGCTCAGAGAGTTCCCATGGTTGATGGTGATTAGAATTCGGGTCTGCCTCTTTCTACAGTGCTTTAACTGCTACGTTTATAATGCATGTCAAATTCTGATAATGCCAAAATGTAGGCTGTGTTATTTTAGTTTCACTGAATAGCCAATAGGATTAAATCATCTCTCTATAAGATACATTTATAACTTGTTTATTTTGACTGATTATACTTCAAGCTGGTTCCTCCCTATGTAGAAAGAAATGGCAACATGTCTTATTTTGCAAAATGCTCTAAAAAGGTATCTGATTTTAACCTCCAGCTGACTTTGGGCGATTGCAAAAAAGCTAACCAAGATTCTATTTGCATTGTAGTTGGACAGAAAATAACCAACATAACCTAGGGCTGTGTATGCCTCTGGGGAGCTGAAAAAGACTTCCTGGCAAATCACTTCCATCTGATAATGACTATAATATTATAATATAATATGAAATTATAAAATTGAAATGCTTCCAGAAACTTTAGCTATCTAAGAGCATCAGAATTGGGCTTGTATTGTCCAACAACCATCCTCCAATGGTAAACTCAAACTTTGGAAAATAATCTTTCAAAAATAATTCATTCCTGCTTCTCCCCTACCCCACCATTTTGTTGATCGGGAGATGGGATGCTATAGTAGTATTTCTTATCTTGTAGGTTTGGCTAAATGACACCTTGAAGTGTCTTCCAGCTTCTAACATTTGTTCTAAAAGGGGGAAAACTCTGGAATTGAGTGTGCTCAAGTACTGTAATGATTTTAGATACTAGATTAAGATTCCAATTCATATGTGCACTCATGGAGGCTAAGGCCGATGGACTTCCAAGATGAAATGCATAGTTATGCATAGTTAAATTCTTAGTCACTGACCTATGATACATATTTTACAGATTATTCAATGAGCTGTATGATGTCTGTTGGCTTCATTTATAGGGCAATTTTGTCATTTGTACAATAGTTCAGGCTCCCCTGAAGGGAAGGTTAAAAAGATTACTTTTTAATTTTTTATGTACCCCATGAAAATGGAACTAACATCCAAACAAAGTCAGAGGACTGAAGAGTGTGCAAAATTTCTAGATATAAATATATTATCCAAGAGTAAATTCCATGAATCAGTAGGATTTTGCAGTAGATTTGTACAGTATACCAAATATTACTCCCATAATTGTGGGTGGATTTCACTTGAAATCTAAAACACCTTATCAAATTCAGGAGAAAGTTGTACTATTTTATTTTGCTTTAAAACATCCATGTTCATCCATCAGGTTCCCTAGATAGCCTTTGATAAGACTTTATCCTTAAATCTAATCTTACCATAGCTGTCTGATGCTTCTTTTTAACCATGGTTTGATGAGGTCATTATTATAGCTGAATATGCCCTTAATATTAAAACCATAAACTACGGCACATAAATCACAATAGTCTGATTCAAAAAAAATCACTCTGAAAAATATTGAGAATAATTTTGTTTTGCCTCAGTGTGTTGGAATACCCATTTTGCCTAGTCATTGTTGTTTCTAAACCACAATGGTATATAGCAGTGGTTCTCAACTTGTGGGTCGGGACCCCATTTGGGGTAGAACGACCATTTCACGGGGGTCACCAAACAAGGCTGTCTGCCATTTTTTTCCCCTTTTCTTTGGCCACGCCCCTGGCACCCAGTGATGTATAAGTGGTTGGGGGTCACCACAACATGGGGAACTGTATTATGGGGTCGCAGCATTAGAAAGGTTGAGAACCACTGGTATATAGACTGTCACTAACTGTTATCCAGTCAGTGTTTTCTTCTTCCAACCATGTCTTAGAATTGTGTGTGGATACTGAATCAGTTAGTAATCTTTCTAGCTCCACATTTTCAACACCTTCTCTTGCAGCTAGTATCTCTAATTTCCAGATGTGTTGGAAGACCCATCTTTTCTAGACAACTTGTTCCCTGGGATAATAGGATTTAATCTAATACAACTGGCCTAGAAGACATCTAGAAAGTCTTAACACAGACAAACTGGCTCCATATGCTGCTCAATTATATTCTTAAAATCCTTAGGATACATGGCCAATTATTACTGTCTGGAATTATGAAAATTATAGTCTAATATATTTGGATGCTAATGATGAGAACTTTAATTCAGCAACATCTGGAGTGCCATAGGATGCCTACATTGGATATACTAAAAAGCAGAATCTGTTCAAAATATCAGATAGGAATGATTCTGTGTAGAAGATGAGCAGGCTGAGCCTGAGGGCGGGGTCTAATGCATCATTAGTTTGGAGTTGCTACGCTTCCACAAGAGACCCAAGTCCAGCTCCCTATGAATTCTATTAACCCTTATCTAGTGCCAATTTGGTTTGACCATTAGTAGATCAGATTCTTGTGCATAAATTGCACATAATAAACTTTTAGTTCTTTGAATTCAGCTTCTGTTCCAGGTTACTTGCATCTGATAGATTCTAGGGTTTCTTTGACACTAGACAATCCATGCCTGTTGGGTCATTGTTTCAGAGACATTTCCTTATCTAAACAGAAACAGAATTACACTAGGTGGGCAAAAAAGCAGTGGGAGTGACTTCTGGCTTCTTGCTGGCCTCCATGTTGAGTTTCTTGTGGGAAGTTGGCAGAGATCAGTAGAAATCTTTCCTTCCTTCCTTGGGGCAGTGTGGGCCAAGAAGAATGCATGAGGGAAACAAGGGTATGTGAGAGGTGCGCTGGGGCCTGGTGTGGTTTGAAGTGCCATGCAGGTCAGGGAAGGCATGCAGGAGGGCCAATTAAGAAGGGTGTGGGTATATAAGAGGTAGAGCATGGGTTAGAGAATGTGCATGGGAGGAATAAGGATTTGGGAGTGTGTGTGGTTTTCAAGATGTATGGCACGGATCAGGAAAGCCATTTGGGTACTGCATGGATCAGGGAGAGTGCTCAGGGAATGGCATGGATCAGGGAAGGTGTTTGGGGGTACCCAAAATGTGCTGCCTGGGTCAGGAAGGCACTCAGGCAGGGGGCATAGATCAGGGAAGGCACAGATCTGGAAGCACATATGGGAGTTGGCACGGTCTGGGAAGGTGCACAGGGTTACTTCCCCTTCCCTTCCCTTCCCTTCCAGCAGACAGGTAAGTAATTGCTGCTTGGTGGGGGGAAGGAAGTGAGGGATTGCTAAACTGGCTGAGAAACTGTCACAAAATGTTGAAAATGAAAATCACATAATTGCACCAGCAGCCAAGCAGCATAGCGACAGTCAGTAGCACTGAAACAGCCACCACTTTCTCAAATTTCATTTCTTTGGGAGCCATGGATCCCAGATTCTGGACACATTCTGTAAGTTATCCCATTCATAATGATTTAAAATTCATTCTCCTGTGATACATCATTTTGCAGGTCATGACAATTAGATTTTCAATAGTATATAAATGTGGATTAAATATGGATCTAGCTGCATTGTCACTAAGCTGCAAAATCTTAACAGAACTGAGATATATGTAATTAACATTTTTATTAAATTCCCAGCCTAATTCTTGGTTTTGTTTGTTGTTGAATGATTCATTCAATTGAACGATAGTTCAGAGAACTAACAAACAGTTATTCCTGTCATGTTTCTTAAAGCTGGTCTATTGCAATGTATTTATATAGGGCTGCTTTTAAACATAATTTTCTTCCTTACTGGTTAGGGCAGCGGTTCTCAACCTGTGGGTCGCGACCCCATTTGGGGTCGAATGACCATTTCACGGGGGTCGCCAAACAACGCTATCCGCCATTTTTCCCCCCTTTTCCTTAGCTGTGCTACTCCCTTTTATTCTATTGGCTTTTGAAAGCCAATAGAATAGATTCTCTTGAATAGAGTCTAATTTTATTGGCTTTCAAAAGCCAATAGGAATTGTCCAGGCTGTCTCTGCCCTGCTGAGCCCGCCCAAAGTCCCATTCTGCAAACGGCGCTGCAAGTTGTCTGCAGCGAAGGCGAGCTGTCTGTAAGTTTCCACCCCTCCCTGCTGAGCAACTACTAAAAATGTAGGTAAAAGAGGGCCAGGGGTGGGAGGTGGGAGGCCGGCGGGCGCAGAGAGGGTTGCTGGCACGCGTGGGGCCTGGCGGGTGCCTTACCTCCCTTGGGCTGGGCCAGCTGGTGGCCCAGCCGGTGGTTGCCCTGTGCCGTCGCTGCCCCTTGCCAGCTACGCCTCGGCCGGTGCAGGGGGCGGCACCACACATGCGTGGCGCTCCCAGGCAGGGAAAGTCCTCGACTTACGACTGGTTGGGTAGTCCTCGACTTACAACCGGTTGAGTAGTCCTCGACTTACGACCGGTTGAGTAGTCCTCGACTTACGACCGGTTGGGGTCGCGGCATTAAAAAGGTTGAGAACCACTGGTTTATTACAATCCTATGGTCACAGACAGTAGTCACTAAATGAGGACTGAGTGTATTACTAACTTAACAGTTTCCAGGGGGCGGCACCACGCATGCGTGGTGCTCCCAGGCAGGGAAAGTCCTCGACTTACGACCGGTTGGGTAGTCCTCGACTTACAACCGGTTGAGTAGTCCTCGACTTATGACCGGTTGAGTAGTCCTCGACTTACGACCGGTTGGGGGTCGCGGCATTAAA